GGGGGGGGTAAAAATGATAAGTGCACTTTATTTTTAAAAGGTGCACTTATCATTTAAGCTTGGGCTCAACTCTTAGCACTATTGGTCCATTAGTGTGATGGGCAGCCTCAATAGCAGCAATAGTGAGGTTCTAGGAAGTAATATGTCCGAGCCCTGAAAGGTAGAAGCACTCCTAGGCCCTTGCATTTATTTGCTACATGGTTTAATTCTAGGCAAAACAGTTCTCTTTTTTTTTTTTTTATTCTGCATATAGTGGCAGTTACAACCTCTGTTGGGTTTTTACTTATGTACCAAACATCTCCAATAAGAACACAGGAGATGCTAATCTTTCCAAAAAAACTAAGTTTTCTTTCAGCTTTCATAGAGTACACCTAAAATCTGGTCCCTGGCATTCTTCCAGTCATAAATATTATATTCACATGAATTTTATTAGAATAATTTATCAAGCTACATGTAGGATGCCACTGCTGACCCCCTGAAAATGCAAGTTGCTGAGCTGCTACACAACGAACAACTAAGTCCCCATTTCAGGACACACACACAGCAAGTGAACTCATATGGCCTGATCAGCATACTCAACTAGAGTAAATGCCACTGCATAATAAACTGGACTAAATGGCTGCCCAATTCATTATAGATTTGTCTGCGCCTGAGACAACTGTGATTGCGGGGTACTGGTCTACCTAAATAACAATGCACAAGGTATAGCTAAATATATAGGCTTCCCATCAGAGGGAAATCTAACAGGTTCATTAGACATTGATTAATATATAGTAAAATAGCTGCTAACAGCATCCATAGATTGCAGTCATATCGGAAGTATTGATCTATGCTCCTCAGGTCTATGGTTAGCAAAAGATTACTGCACACACTCCCAGTCGATAAAATTCAAGGGAAATGACGATTGGCTTGATTGCTATGGATTCCTCTAATATAAGCTGGTGCTGGAGTTCATTGGCCGTACCCTTGTCTGCACTGACAAACTTGCCTGCTCTGGTGATCCATGTATGCAGATTTATAGAAATATTTTTTTTCTGGTTGTCTGCTTGAAATACACAACTACCCCCCTGAGTATCACCATCTTAAGCCCACTTTTCCACCAACCTCTCATTATCATAGTTACCAGAAAAGGAAGATTATGTCTGATAGCTCATTGGTTGGTGGCCAACAGCAAAATGTTCTCCCATATAACCGAAGAAAATGTGTGCAAGCAAACATTATACCATCATTCTCAACCAGTTGCTAGGGGTTCCTTGAGATGTAGCCGATTGACCTCCCTTTTGATGGTGTCTGCATATTTTCAGGCCCAACTCCACATGGCTGTAAGGCATTCTGGCCACCAAATGCAAGAGGGGGCATTCTGGCTACCAAATGCAAGAGGGGGCATTCTGGCCACCAAATGCAAGACGTGGGTGGGGCAATTCTTCCCATTGGCCCAGAATGCAACAGAAGTATTTTTCCCACCGGCCATCGATCCAAGGGGAGGGGCATTATTCCCATCGGCCGCCAACGCAAGGGGGACACACACACACACACACACACTCTTCCCACCGGCCACCAACACAACAGAGGGGGGCATTCTTCCCACCGGCCACCAATGTAAGGGGCATTCTTTCCACTGACCCCCAAATAATTTGTTTCAGTAGGAGTTCCTGGAGACCTGAAAAATATGTCAAGGGTTTCTCTGGGGTAAAAAGGTTGAGAAAGGCTGGATTAAAGTAATGTCTATGCAAAGTAAACCTTTTACTTTGTTTAATTTAGAAAAGTAACCAAACAATCTTGTATTGAAACTGGACTGTCTCACTTTATATTGTAAAGGGCTGCACAAAATGCTGGCATGATATACACCCTGTATAATCATAAAAAAAACACAATAGTGGATGCTTGCAACAGGCTTCCAGCAGAGGCCACGGGACTGGAAAAGGTAAAAAAATAAATGTGGTGGTGGTTTTGGGGGGGTTGCAGAGTTGATGGGCCATGTCTTTATCTGCCACCATTATCCTATGTTTCCGTGCATCTCTCAGTTTTGCACTGGCACTTCACACTGTAACCTAATTTCGGTTACATTGATCATATTGTGCATGTAAAAACCAACAACATGCTTAATCAGTAGCATGGCAATGAGTGGGAAAGTCTAATAACTCACAGCAACCAATTACATTGCAGTGCACCTTCTTCTGATCCATACATGATTAATTCTAATCGTTTGCTATAGGACGCTGCACTTGACATATTGCTCTTTGCCTCATACACCAGCACATAAATATTTTCCTCACTGAGCAACATAAAGCAAAGGCTCGCTAGAAAAAGACAGATGGTCATATGCTGTATGCACATTTTCGGTGTTGCAGTTCTTTAAATGTACAATGGATCTGAGATTCCGACACAGTTAAACAGGGGGTGTTATTTGACAAAACCCCCAAGTGAGGGCAGCACCATACACATAGGGAATGTATACATAAATACCTTTATATGCCCTTTGTTCAGCAATATGGCTATTTGCAGAGTGCTGTGGTCTAGAAGTTAATAGCTTTCCAAGTGATGCAGAGGTGCTGGTGTCAATGTAATCAATAAAGATGAAACCTGATCCTCGGTATATCAATAAAAAACAGCCAATCTAGGGTTGTATGGCCATGTATCACTTGCTGTTGTATCGACATTGCAGAAAATTGTATAACAATATAGCTGTTTATCAATAATGATTTAGCTGGTGTTTACAAATCTAGATTGTTACAGGTTATCAATGCAAATATATAGGGGACGCGACTGACTGAAGTGTTATATTAGGACTGGAAATGACACAGGGATCTCTTTATTTTTATTTTCTGGTTAAATAACGGCTAATTGGACAGACTTGTGCATATAAAATCGAAAGTAATCCACCTGTCACAGACACATATGTTGGCTCAAACATTGCAATGTGCATCCTGTGTGTAGGACACTATCGGTTAGATCATACATGCTTATAGAAGGAGGCTCTGTGTCGCTGTCTGCAGAACATGATGAGCCAATACTGTATACCTCCTGGGTGTTATGTGGATTTATTGGGAGCGAAGATGATCTGTTTAGGTTGGTAGGCAATTATTAAAGTTGAGTGATGTGTGATGTGATGGTCTCAGTGTCAATCTGCTTTCTAGACCATAAGATGGTCCTCTGATCCCTTAGGAGGGAGGAGGATGGCAACCGCTCTGCACTGCCAGGACTACCCTGAGTGTTTGTGCTTCACCACCCCCCAGCACCTGACTTTAGTAGCATCCCAGCATCTGTGTGATGGTCTCAGCCTCAAATCTGCTTTCAAGACCATGAGAGTCTCTCCTGATCCCTTAGAAGGTGGCAACCACTCTGCACTGCCAGATAATCAAGACTACCCAGGGTGCTTACCCTCCTTCAGCCCCAGTATCTGGCTATATTAGCACCCCAACATCTCAGTTCTGCGTGATGGTTTCAGCCTCAGTCTGATTTCTAGACTGTAAGATGGTCTCCTGGTCCATTAGAAAGTAGGAGGGTGGCAACTGCTCTGCACTACCAGCTAACCAGGACTACCCAAGGTGCTTATCCTCCTTCAGCCCCCAGCATCTGATGTTATTAGCTCCCAAAATCGGCTTTCTGTGTGATGGTCTCAGTCTGCTTTCAAGACCATGAGATTGTCCCTTAGAGGGTAGGAGGGTGGAGACTGCTCTCGTACCTTCCAGTTAACCAGGACTATCCAAGGTGCTCGTCCTCATTCAGCCCCCAGCATCTGATATTAGCATTCTGTGTAATGCTCCTAGGTCTCATCCTCAACTGGCTTTCAAAACCAGGAGATGGTCTCCTGATCCCTTAGAAGGTATAAGGATGGCAACTTCTCTGCACTGCCAGCTAGCCAGCACTACCCAGGGTGCGATCTTCCTCCAACCCCCAGCATCTGATGTTATTAACCTCTCAACATCTGTCTTCCAGTCTCTAGGGTAAAGATCTCATCCTTAATTGGCTCTCAAGACCATGAGATGGTTTCCTGTCAAGACCATGAGATGATCTCCTGATCCCTTAGCAGGTAACTGCTCTGCACTACCAGCACTACCCAAAGTGCTTGTCCTCCTCCAGCATCAGATGTTATCAACCTCTCAACTTCTGGTCTCTAGGGGAAAGGTCTCAGCCCCAATTGGCTTTCAAGACCATGAGATGGTCTCCTGTCAAGAACATGAGATGATCTCCTGATCCCTTAGAAGAGAGGAGGTTGACAACTACCCTGTACTACCAGCTAACCAGAACTACTACACTTTCCCTCCGGCAGCATCTGACTTTATTAGCACCCCAACATTTGCATTCCATCAACAAGAGCAACCTGACCATCAGGGACACAGAACTCCCACCAATGGTCACCCACACCGTTTCCATTGCCCCAACAACTTTCCTTCCTGCTACAGTAAAGGGCACACATGTATACACCCAGATCACAAGGCAGATCCTCCAAATGCTACAAAGTGCGAACCATGCATTGCACCAAAAAAATCTTAACTAATACAGCAGAGCAAAGTGCAGTAACTCCAGCAACCCAACCTATCCTCAGAGCCAGCAGAACAATGAAAGCATTCCTGACTGCCACTGTTTCCAAGGTTCATGGTCTCACAAGGAGGCTTCAGCTACAAAAGGTGATGTTCAATCCTCTGACACCGTGAGATCCTCCAGCTGACAACCTATCTCCTTCCAAAACACTTGGATTGCAAGCCTCAAACACACACAATGCACCTAGCATTGTGCAGAGTTTCACATTATGGGTTGGCATAGCTGGTGAGCATAGTGAGATGAGGTTAGACCACTGATCCCTATTAAATAAGTCAGCAGTCCCCAGGCTGTGCACCCCCCACCCGGGCATCAGGGCTCAGTCACACACCCATATGCCAAATGCTGCCCTATACGATGCATGAAAGCACAGACATGTCTGAGCAGCAAGTCCAGCACTATCTAAATGCAACTAAAAAAAAAGAAGATCGATCCCTTTGGAGGAATGCACATCCGCTGCCCCTGGGAGTCTATCACCTTCCCATGCAATTGGAAATGAAACTTGTGCAGGCAGGAACGCAGCCCATTGGAAGCGGCTTACCCTTGTGGCTCTGCCCGCAGACGTAGGGCGAACAATTCCTAAAGCTCCCTCGTCCTAGCCATGGGAGGAGAAGGCAATGCCCCCACCGGCCGCTGCTCCGCCAGCTCGATCTCCCGGCAGCTGACTCTCACCTGCGACAAGAAGCGGCTACTGGGCTCGCAGCCCGTGTGAGTGCAACTACAATGGGCTACGACTTTTCAGTGTCCGCCCAGCGCGCCGCTGATTGGCCAAGAGAGGTGCGGGGGGCGTGGACAGTGAACCCCAGGCGGCGAAGCTGTCAATCAAAGGCAGGTGGGCGGGGCGCCGCGTCAATCCCCGCAGCTCGCTTTGATGTGTAGTTTGTCATGGGCAGCGCAGCCGGGGATTAGTGACAAACTCGTTCATTCCCCCGCTGCACCCGGCACTTGTTAGCCGCTCTCTCCTCTTCGTGTGGTTGTTAAAGCTGAACTCCGGGCGGATATAGAAAAGACACGCAGCTCTGCATCTCATAATGCACCCTTAAAGGGGAACTCCGGGGTTTTATACAAATTAACCCTTGCAGTTCAGAGGTAGCCCCGCTGAATGAAAGGGTTAATTGCTCATTTTTGGAACACAGCAGATATACTCACCTGCTCCTAAGTTCTGTGGGAGCAACTGCTCAACTTTAACCATCCCCCGCTCTGATTGTGGTATCTCCCGCAGCATCCTCACCTCTAATGGACCTGCCATAGATGTGATGATGTCATCAGGGTTTAGACCACTGGAGTCCGGGGGGAGAAGAGGGTCACCTCTACCCTATATGGCAGCAGAGCGGGGGTGGGCAGTGGACAGGGGCGTCCCGATGCCTGGTGTCACCCAGCAGAGTGGAGACCAGGTGACACCCCGCCGGGACGTCATTGTGCATGCGTGTGCAGGATGATGTCATCGCGCATGCGCTGCCATCCTAATTGACGTCTGCCAGCGACCATCTTGGTGATAGACACTGGCAGAGAGAGGAGGGGACGTTCACCCGGCAGGATGAGGTATCCTGCCGGGTCCCCTCCTCTTTCCTGACACTGTCGGGCTCTAGGTCCCTGACCGAGTGTCCGAATTTTAGAGGGGGTGACACCAAAATGACGTGTCAGTCATCTTGGTGTCTTCCCTCCAATGGTGTCACCCGGGTGCGGGCCGCACCCCCCTTGTGACGCTACTGGCAGTGGAGTTACAAAGGGGGTGTGTGTGATGAGGTTCCACCAGGTGACATCCGGCATGGTGACGTCTCTGGGGATGGGGGGTGGGTCAGGTGCATCACCCGTTCAGGTAACGGGTGACACCCCGCTGTGATGTCATTGCACATGTGGACATAAAGCCGTGCTGTCCGCTGCTCTCTGGCTGGTCACCCACCTCACTGACATCACTGGTTGCCAAGTGCTCGGCGGGACACCGGCCAGAGCATCCCGTTCAGCTCCCTATCAACCGATGATGTCAGGGACCGGACAGAGCATCACGGGTTGCTAAGAGCTCCTAGCAGGGTTAAAGGGCTATTCACGCTAAAGCCTTGCGCCAGATGCGTGAGATCTGTGCATTTAGAACGCGCTACTGCACAGCGCCACTTGCTTGGTGTGCCGGTGTGTTGGATTGTCATTGATTCTCATTGGTACCCCCAAAGCCCCTCCCGGCATTTTTGCAGCAGGGCGCATGGTATTGCAATAACATGCATTGCTATGCTGCTAAAAAAGGTCATGCATGTACTACTTGCATGCGGCACCCCACCTACTGGGAGGTGCGTAGGGGTGCCATTAAGAAGCAATGAAAACGCATGTAGTGTACGGCACTGTACACTGTGTAATAGCATGCGCTAAATGCATGGATCCCACACGTTTACAGCCGCTCTATAGCATACCTCCCAACTTTGGGGGGGGGGGGGAGACACACACATTACAGCAGGGGTAGGCAACCCTCCGGCTGTGGTGCAACTACAAGTCCCATGAGGCATTGTAAGACTCTGACAGCCACAGGCATGACTCCCAGAAGCAGATGCATGATGGAATTTGTAGTTTCACCACAGCTGGAGGGCTGGAGTTTGCCCACCCCTGCGTTAGAGCATGAAGGATGCACGCAAAGAACAAGGAATGAAAGAGGCAGGGCCAGGAACAGTATGGTTGTGGAGGAAAGAAATAGACAGGGGCGTCATGAGACCGGGTGACACCCTCCGCGACGTCATCACACATGCGCGGTCATCTAATTGCATCTTGGTGATGGACGCCGGCAGAGAGAGAAGGGGACGTTCACCCGGCGGGATGAGGTATGCCGCCTGGTCCCCTCCTCTCTCCTGACACTGTCGGGCTCTCGGTCCATGAGCAAGTGCCCAACTTTTTAGAGGGGGTGACATCAAAATGACAGCACCCTTCAATGGTGTCACCCAGGTGAGGGCCGCATCCCCCGCACTCTTGTGACGCCACTGGGTATAGATGATGCTGGATGTCCTCCTGCCAGGAAATGAGGTGGGCTCTATCTGACCGTCTGTAGTGAAATCAGAGGAAGTAACATCAGCCCAGGACAGGAGCCGCTACAACTGTGCAGACTAAGGCCCCATTCACACTGCGCGATTTGCGCGTTTGTCGCACAAATTTGCATTTTGCGCAATATCGCGCAAATGCTTGCATTGAGCAAGCTGGAATCGCGGCAAAATCCGCTCCAAAAAGGGTCCTGCTGTAGCGACACACGACCCGCGACAGCAGGACCCTTTGCCCCATTGCAAAGCATTGAAGAGCGATATCGCGCGGTAAATAGCCGCGATATCGCAGGAATTACCGCGCGATAAATCACTCAATGTGAATGGGGCCTGAAGGGGAGGCAGGAGGTCAGCTTCAAATGTACTTTTGGTAAAGGCAAGCACAGTATCTACATTTTGCTTGGTATCAGCCTCTTGCAATCTACTGTACAACTGAGCTCAGACTACGAGAGGGAGAAGAAATACCAGGAGCCAATCTGTTGTGCTGCAGTGAAAGAAGGGAGATGAGCTCAACAGTCTGCTGCTTCTCCTTTCAGTGTCTGGTCACAGGCTGGAGGAAGAGACAAGACATGAAAGTGTTACTGATCTGCAGCAGTGTAAATCTCAGGACTGGATGAACAAGATAACAAATCCATCGACAGATAAAACTTCTCCCTTGTCTACACATGTAGCCGTTTGCCTGGAGTTCAGATATTACTCTCAGCAAGTCATGTGCATGCAGCCGTCATCTAATCAGTGTGACTTCCGAGGAGTCTCGTCACCTGCAGATCTCCTCCGGGTGGGAGGTCTATTGTAGAGTCTGCTGGGAAGATTCATTCTATAGAAGATGAGATCTCTGATCATTGTGTTCATCTATAGAGGGACATCTATCCAGATTTCCAAATCCCAATGCGTCCGAATACGAATTTCCATTTCAGAATTTCGCATCCTGTCCAAATTTCATTAAAAAACTAAACAGAATCGGACATGTGACTTTTCTGGCCAATCAGATGTGTTTTTCGGTTTAAAGCACCTGAATGGGTCTGAATACGAATTTTCGTTACGACAACATGGGAGCCATATACAGTATATACATATTATACTAAAGCTGAGGCTCCCAGACCAGAATGGCATTCAGGAGCTCCAAAATGCAATCCGGAAATTCGGGTCTACAGATTCAGCTTCAGTATTAATTTCTATACGGTTTTCTGTGATATTCGCAACAAATATTCGTAAACTCATCCGAAACTAACGAAAATTTGTATTTTGTCCCAATCCGAAACCCGAACTGAATTGAATTTCTGACTCGAATCCCGAAATGACGAAATATCCGAACCAAATTTTTCCGGCAGCTTGCATGTCTAGGGTTTATCTATCTATCCAGTGGTGTTACTAGGGGGGTGCGACGCGCACCCCGATAACACAATTGGAGGGGTGACACCAAAATGACTGACAGTATTTTGGTGTCGCCCCCTCTGAAAAGTCGGGCACTTGCTCATGGACCAAGAGCCCAACAGTGAGAGAAGAGGGGACATGGCGGCATACCTTATCCCACCGGGTGAACGTCCCCTCCTCTCTCTGCCAGCATCCATCACCAAGATAGCCGCTGGCACGTGAGGTCTTTGCGAATGTGCGTGATGACGTCACGCGTGATGATGTCATGGCAGGGTGTCACCCGGTACCTGCTCCAGCATGACACCCGGCCTCGAGGCACCATGCCTCGCTGTTGTGAGGACAGCCCACAGGAGACACATAACTTAGACTAATGATTTTCCCATAATGCAGACTCCTTGTTTTCCGCCACTGCATAGAAGATCCTTTCTGACGTTAATGTTTCTGTCCCTGATTTATGAGGTTGCTGTGTTCTTATGTAGAAGTGTTCATTAGCAGAGAAGTTAACCTGGAGGTAGAAAATGCCTCATGCCAGTGTTACATCTATGGTTGCCACCTTTTCTTCAAGTGAAACCCGAACACTCTAGCGGCACGAGCAGCAATTTTTTTTTTTTTTTTAGAATATAGAGGAGAGAGCGAGGAGAGGCAGCCAGGGGAGGGAGTAAGGAGACCGGCTATAGAGGACTACAAATCCCAGGCATACATTTTACAGCAATACAAAATAATATGAAGCTATTTACTCTATGTTGTTCCGGGGTGGCGCCCTGATGTCTCCAGGGTCCCAGGTGGACTCTGCAGGCTCTCAGGTGGTCTGTGTGCACCCTCAGGTGTGCTTTGCACACACGCAGGTGGGCTACGCGGATTCTCAGGTGGCTGTGTGGGGTTTCAGTTGGGCTATGCAGGCTTTCAAGAGTGCTGTGTGGGCTGTGCGGTGTCTCACCAGGGGTCAGGTGGCGTGCAGCCTGGTGTCAGGAAGATGGAGGAGAAGATGAGCCGGTTGGTACCTGTTTACAGGCGCCCATGGCTCACTGTAGGATGCCGCTTCAAGCAGATGCGGCTGCCTGAGCTCCCATGCTTGCTGGGGGACCTCAGCAGCCTCATCTGTTAAAAATGTTTTGCCGGTATCAGCACTTAGTGTCTTGTGTGCACTTAGCCTGCCACCCGGACACAAGACTCAAAAACCGGACCGAACCCAGTGCAAACACCAGTCCATCCATATGGCCCCCAGTACTGCCCATCCCTCTCCCAGTCTGAGGGGTGGTGATAGGAAG